GTCATGTGTCCTTAAGGGGTTAAACTAGCACATGGACTTTCTACCACACATATGTTCTTATTATCTATTGACTTAATTATTTAGTGATTGAATTCATACCCTTGTAAGGATCAGGTCTTTACTATCTAGTGGGGCTAGCAGTAGGTGCCCTTGAAGGCACGGGAAGGAAGGTATTCAGTACAGGGAATTTATTGGTGGGAGACTTCCTCGGTACTGATCTTAGTAAGAAACAGTAGTCTATCTACCTATCAGCTAGTGGGCTGAGTTCCATTAGCTATCACAGCAGACCAAGTTTGCATATAGACAGCCACAAAGCTATCAAGCTCCTACCAGTTTTCATCTGTAATTATAAGGATCTACCAGGATTCCATAGTTCTCCTTACTTTCCCTTTTCCCCTCCTGAGTATTTTTATCGGCAAACCTCTTTTCTGTTATTTTAGACAGAGTTTGGTCCTTATTATCTAGTGGGACTAGCTTTAAGTGCTCTTTCTGCCACGGGAGGGAAGGTACCCAGTACAGGGAATTTATTGGTGGGAGACTTCCCAAGTACCGATCTCAGTACAAAAACAGTCGTCTATCTACCTATCAGCTGGTGGGCTGAGTCCATTAGCTATCACAGCCGACTAAGATTGCATAGTAACAGCTACGAAGCTATCAAGCTTTTACCAGATTTCGGTTGCACTTATAATGATCTACTAGGATTCTATAGTTCTCCTAATTTCCCCTTTTCCCCTCCTCAGTATCTTTACTGGTAAAACCTTCTTTTTGTTATATTAGACTGAGTTTTCTATCAAAGCACAGACATGTAGAGATGTCGCGAACCGTCCGCGAACTTCTCGCGAACGGTTCACCACGGTTCGCCACGAGCTGTTCGCAGCGAACTCCGGTCAGCTGACACGTCCCGACCAATCTCCAGCAGACCCTCCTACTTCCTGGACAGCATCCATGTTTATGAAACATGGATGCTGTCCAGAAAGTAGGAGGGTCTGGGAGGGAGGGTCTGCTGGAGATTGGTCGGGACGTGTCAGCTGACATGTGCATGATGTCAATTGACCATGACCCCATTACAGGGTATGTTGTTGTTTAACCATTACTAGTCCACAACTAAGGACCCTTTATCGATACTATGTCCATTTATCTAGCCAGGCTGCCTATTTTTCCTAGGCTAGTTACATCTTGATATTTATCTAGTAGTGATATTTATAAAAATGGTTTAACTCTCTGAATACATATTACTTTAATCACCTTTTGTACACGAGCACCTTTTTATATTCTCTTTATTTTAGATATTTATATTATTTAATAAAATGTATTTCTTTTTTTCTATTTTAGCAAATTGCTCCTTGTCTGGTAGACATTTTGCAGCTATTTGTTACTTTAATTACAGTACAGCTTATCTATCCCAGTCCCTCCTGGTACACATTCTTCGTTTATCAATCTATGATATGCAGGTTTATTGATACCTGACTCTATTACCCTGTGTAGCTTTTGTTTATTCCTTTTTAGATATCTGGATATATCTGGATTATTGCTTCTTAAGGTTGTTTTACCTTCTTTACATGGGAGATTTCTATCTTTCGTTTCACCCCACTTATCATTTTGTTCCGTTCATTGTCTGTGACGCTAAGACTGAAATAACTTCTGCTTGTGGAGCCAGAATAATAAAAATAATTAACTTGTAAAACTAAAAATAATCTAAACAGTAGTAAAATAAAAACTTTAAATGCACATAACAGGTATGTATTGCAAACAAGATAGAGCGATATCGCTCTTTGCGGTAGTAGGTTGCTGGATCTCGAAGTCGTTGCTCTGGGCACTAACAAGGTTATCCGGTCCATAGACCATGGCAGGCGGTGTGCTGTCGAGAATGACCTGGCTGGTAATCCCAGTTCCACAATCATGGAGGACGCCTTGGATAAATGCGTGAGAGAATGAGTCTTTCCATCTTTTTCCACCTGGAGCCAGAGCACGCCCTATTTATAGGACACCTGGTGGTCACGTAGATGCTGGGTGTTAAAACAAACACATTGCCTTGCTAAAATAGTTATCACTTGTGAATATTTATACGATGTTATTTAAATTTTGCTAGTTGAGTAGTAAGTTAATACATGCGCGAAGTGCAAAAGTTTGTATTTGTTAACATTTATTTTTAGAAATTATTAGTGTATATCTTCTACTGCCTACTTTTGTAATCCATCATAGGTTTTGGAAGTAACTGCCTAATGATTATGGAAAACATTATGTGTTGGTATACAGAGCTCGTCAACATTATAAAAAGAAAAACATGAAATTACATAGTTCAGCCTCATGGGGTCACTGTTGACTAAACTTGTGCAATCACTGTGTTCCTCCTGCCCAGCAAAATCTGAAGAAAATGAATAACGATGATTAATTATTATTATTATTATTATTATTATTATCATTAGCAATTTTATTCAGCAAAACTATTAACCAGCATTTTTTTAAAAGCTATAGCAAATATTCTACAGAATCCGACAATGGCAGAACCTAATATTTATCAGATATGGAACAAATGTATATAAATTGAGCAAAACAGGTCATGACTTGAATAAGATTTTCGTTTGTTTGAGTATATAAAAATGTTGGGCAGATGTGCTGGATGTTGAGCTGCTAGCAGGACCATTGTTTTGGTCAGGAACGAACACTTTGCCGCAGAATTGGTCTTCATACAATACCCCTAATCAGTTATTCAGGACAAAAAAAATGTTAATCAGAGGGTACAAATCTTGGTGTATAGTTAATGCCCCTGCAGTCTCACTGCTCAAGTCTCTGCCATTTATGAGTTAAAACTGTTTGTTTATGCAGCCCCAGCCACACCCAGTGTTGTCTTAACAGCCTTATAGTCCCCCGGCCAAAGCAGTGCACTACGGCCCTGCCTACACAACCACTCACAGGCATGAACATGTTAATTATCGATAAACATAAGCTTATATTTATTGGTACCTCGAACAAAATCAGTGTTTAAATATTGAAAAACATGTACAGTAGAGATTAATCCACACAAACGCAGGGGGAGGCAACTGACATGCACTGCAAAAAACATTAGAAATACTGTATTATAGCTTTACGGTTTCAAAAACTTGCGTGTTGATTTTGTCTTGGTTATGGTCAAGATATGTATTCGCAACAGCAAGATTGCACGTATAGATAACAGCTGATACTGGGGCGATTAGTCAACCTAAACGTAATAATAAAGAGTTTTTGAAGGTCCTGAAAAAATCTCCCTGAATGATATATTGAAAAGTTGGCAAGCCTATGGTGCTCCTATGCTCGTGAAGTCCCTGGGCAACTGCCTGGTGTGCCCATGCGTTAAGACTACACCTCCCTTGGCTGTGACTGACGCAGCGTCCATGAAAAAAGGTTTAATTTTCAAGCAGATCTTACAGTACAGTTTGTAAAGTTTTCTTGTTTAAGTTCTCTTGTTCTGTTAATTGAACTTTGGTCACACAAATGAGCCTGTTTCAGGCTCTAGCAGAACGGCACAAAGTGGATGGTATGCTCATTTAGCACTAAAACATTAAAAACGGTTTAAAACTAAACAGAAGAATGGTACAAGGGTACAGCAGTTACTAAAACCATGTCAATAAGATGAAGCAGTTAAAGGGACACTCTAGACCCTTAAAGCACTTGAGCTTGCTGAAAATCTTTATGTGAGAAGAGTGTGCCCTCTTTTTTTCATTTTGCAAAAAGTGCAGATTTCAATAGAAATTTGCACTTTTATGGATTAACCTTGTTACACCCCCTCGGCTTTCAAACTCACAAAAGGTGTTGTTATTTCCTGGTGCTGCTAGCTAAATAGAGCTAAACTCAAGAGGCAGCAATTGCCCAGAGCACCTGAATTGCAAAGAATTCTCATTGAGCTGTGTTGGGAAGTCTATGATTGGACAGCTGGGGACATCTGAGTGGGGTTAGAAAAGGAGTGTTTGCAAAGGCAGCAAACAATGGAAATTCAGGTTTGCAAACTGCTTATAGATAAACAACCAATGAAAAAATGCATAAATAAATGCATGTACATTTTCATTGAGGGTTATATCTACTAAACATTGATTTTTATTTATTTTGCATTTGGGCATTGGAGTGTTCCTTTAAAGTTTGCACAGTGTCCCTTTAAGTTAAACTTGTTTTGGTGCCTAGAGTGACCCCTTAAATTTTTTAAATTTTGTTTTGGGGAGTTTTTTTTCACAAAATAATGTCACGATTTGCTGTCTATTATGAAATTCTTATTGAATGAGGTCCTCTACGCATTTATTATATATTTTATAAAAATAAATATTCAAATACATTTAGTACGTTAGTAAATTAGTTATATTGTAGATTTAATAGATCTTTAGAATTAAATAATCTGCATTCAAATGAAACCAATAAAAGCTTATTCAGCAGCATTTGCTTTGACATTTTTCCAAACAAAATACCAAAGCATTTTGCATTGCCTAAAAGTGCACAAGATGTAAATGCTGCTGACTGTACATGAGCTATTTAGGTATTGTTTACCTTTTGACAGGTAACAGGTTTAACTTGAATTTCATAAGACTGGGTGGAGCAGAATGCAGCTTCCATATCAGAGAAACTATGAGACAGGCCTTCTGTTAGTCTTTAGAACAGCTCACTATTACACATTGATTTATTTTAATGAATGATATTAATAGGAATGAAACATAAAATGTCTTAAAATGTGTGTAACACCTCCACTCAACTCCCACAAAGTCTAAATGTTTTATTTCTTTGCAGCCATATTTATGGGCATATTAAGAAGTGTTTGGGTTCGCCAGGTGTAGATCCAGACCCCAATCTTGGAGGAGAACTGGCAGAATATTTATTTCAGTTTGGCATAATTAACGAGAGGAAAATAATACTTGTTGCTGTTCCGTTGACTCTGAATTTTAGCATGGCAAAATTAGAATTAATAAATGAAGGGAAGCATTGCTGGTTTGGAAAATTAATCTAACTCAGATATAGTGAAAATTGTTATCTTTGTGTGTGTTAACCTTGTGTCACTGTTTGTGTGAATGTGTGTGTGCATTTGAGTGGACTGCCAGTGTGTGAATGTAGGTCTTTGGAGTGCTAGTGTATTGTTGCATTGTGTTTGCCAATCCCCATATGCCCCTTTGTATTTCTGTATTCTGCACTTGAGTCCCTCACCCCATATGCCTCTTCACCCCACGTCCCTGTTGTCAGACCTTCCCTCCAATTCTTTTTGAGATGGGTTGTAGTTGTGGAACAATAGGTATTTAGAATTATTGGGTTTAGGTTTGTAATGGGATTGAATTTAGTATTTAGGTACAAAGGTTGTTTAGGGCTTGTGGCGTTTAAAGGGCTATTTGCTAATTACTGAGCCTCCTGTGTCTCCTGTCATTGATTGTTGAGCTGCAATAGCTGTTGTACAGTGTGCATCGTGTGCACAGAAGGCCAACTACAGTACAGAGGAACTGCCTAGGGTTCTTTGTAATTATCTCTCCCCATCAGTCCACATGAGCTCCAAAAAAGATACATTGTAAGTGCTGAAAACAGGCATCCACTACAGGACAGGTGCCTACTCTGCCTTATGGGAAATACGGCCGTGCTGACACTCCATCTCGTCCCAAACTCTTCCAGTCGAAGAGAAACACTGCCTGTACCCAATGTGTTACCTGTCTGCAGCTTGGTAGCTGCACTCGGTGGTGTACAAATTGGGGGCCGGTCCATCCCGGGTGCCACTCTTTACAGGGGTGCCACCTACCCTCATATTGAGAGCGGTGGCCGGGCAGCAGGAGGAGGAATGCGGAGGGTGTCCACATGCTCCGCCCTCACGGTGTTCTGAGCAGAAGCGCTTTGACACTCTGTGCGGGCGGAGCCACAGTGGCAGAGTCTGGAGCAGCGAGCAGGTGAAGGAGCAGGGTCTTGAAGATGGGGCAGGGATTTTGTTAATGGGGGTGCTGGATTTTTGTTGAGGGGTGCAGTTTTTTTATTTTTAGAGAGGAGAGCATGGTTTTCGTAGACAGGTGTGCAGGGTATTTGTAGATGGGGCAGGGGCTTTGCAAAGGGGGGTTTGTAGATGGGTGAGTGGGCAGGGGGTTATGTAGAGGGGGTTTCAGTGTTTTTGTAGAGGGGAGTAGGGGATTTGTAGAAGGGAGACTGGGCAGGGGATTTGTAGAACGGGGACTGGGCAGGGTTTTTTGTAGAGGAGGGGGTGCAGAGTTTTTGAAGAGGGGGGCCAGGGTTTTTTCGTCAAAAGGTCGGTTTGTAGAAGTTTTTTTTCTCATTAGAGATGTTCTATAGATTTTCTATAGACCTGCGAGGCTTCTTTGCAATTTAAAATAGAATTGCCATGCTTCGTATGGCAGTGTCCATGTAAATGAACACACTAGTAATTGCTTATACCATATACTCACATAGACATTGTGTAGACCATATACTCACATAGACATTGCTTATACGATATACTCACATAGACATTGCTTATACCACATACTCAAATTGTCATTGCTTACACCATATACTCACATAGAGATTGAATATACCACATACTCACACAGAGATTGCTTATAACACATATTCACATAGAGATTGCTTATAACACATATTCACATAGAGATTGCTTATAACACATTCTCACATAGAGATTGCTTGTACCATATACTCTTTTTCTGATATATGATGTGTCCTAATACCACATTTTTCTGGACATATAACGCTTCTTCATGCTGATGGGCAGTACATGAAATGTCTTGCTCTGCAGCATGTAGAATGCCTGCTGCATGTGTGCAATAAGTTATTCAACTACTCAAGGCTCCACTACTAGTTCAGGGTTTAGAGATTACCCAGTTGTGTATAAGGTGTTTTTAGAAAAAGAAAACAAAAAACACCTTAGACACAACTGGGTAATACCTAAATCCTGGACTGGTAGGGGAGTCTTGAGGACTTGTTTCAGAACCACCTATCTACTAAGTGTTATACAGGTTATCCTAGTCATTACATACATTGATTGTCACTAATTAACCAGCTGGATTCATGTTCATCAAATGTCATGATTAGATAGTAAGCTCTAAGCCCATATGATAAGTGTTCGTGCATGGCTCTACCATTATGTATTGTTACTTAACTGTGCCACGAGGTGGCCGGGGTCTTCCGCTTGAAACACACAAGGCTCGAGCCCTCATCCATCCATACCAGCCTCATGAGGCTCGATCACTGCGCTCTCTGAGCGGGACACGTGCGCTGACCATAGCGACCGTTCACGTGGCCCGCTGCGTATAATTAAGAGCACTGTTCACAGTGCAAGCATGCTCCTAAATGGGGCAATGTGAGCCCCAAGTAGTTTCTGACTCCCATTGATCCATGCCATTCCAGTGCCCCCATGCACGCACCTTTTGGAGGTGCAGGCATGATGTGCACCAATCACAATTTATTGATAGAATATTTCATCATCCCTAGTCCTGTACTCCGCGCCCTATTGTGGTTTCTGTCCCAGTAGCCTTTAGTGCTTTCCTTGAACTATTGTATAGTATTCTGAAAAAAGCAAACCAGGTTTTTACTCAATCCCATACAGCATAGGTGGTATCTTTAAATAAAACTAGTTTTCACTGAAATTGGACCTATCTGATTTTACCGTTGAAGATTTTATCTGGCAGATTCACTCTTTTATTTCCTTGGTAGGAAAAATACCACCTATGCTGTATGGGATTGAGCAAAACCTGGCTTGCTCTTCCTATGTGAGTATACCTCCTATTATTACTTTCTTTTTATATATAACAGAGAGCACTATATCCCGTTTTATTTTCATTTCTATACTGGAGAATTTCATGCTGCAATTAAAGATAAATACATCCACTTCTGACATCATAGCGACCCACTGACCTGGGACACCAACCTTCAAAAGACCAGAAGGACCCACATATCCACAGGTGGGGAACATACTTTCCAGGTGTATACATCTGCAGCTGATCATACGCTCCAGAAAATTGTGAGTGTTTTTCCTTTATTCTTATATTCACCAGTTTGAAGAATTATTACACTATATTTAAACTCTCATGCTCTTTTTTTTTTTTATATACTAGGCAATACCTATATGGACCTGTGAGTACCCTGAAGGCGCTGCTTCCCTACACCCCTTTCCAATATATATATATATATATATATATATATATATATATATATATATATATACTATCCTTACAACAGAGGGAGGCAGGGAGGGCTGGCAGAGGAAACTTCCCATTGCATGAGCTCTGACTGTCTGCAAGAGGAGAAACTGAAGACATCTGTCACCAGTATGAAGTGCTTGCTGACGGCAGACTTAAATTATGCTCAGAATTCACATTAGGCAGCTTGGAACCATGTTTTGGGCTGCAAATGTCATGTGTGCTGGTAGTGCACCTGGCCCCTAGCATTTAAGTTCCTATAACTCGGTATGATCAGCGTAAGCCGAAACACTGCACATGCTAACTCCTACCACCATGGCCACTTAAAAAAGCAGAAGTGGTCATGGTGGTTTGAGTAGCCCAAACCACCACATGAGTGTAAATCCTAGGCTTTAGCACGGCGGGGATATTTTGAAGCAAGTAATTGAATTCACTGGGTTGTTGTTTTTTTCACACTATAATTTTTTTTTTAATTTTTTTTTTTTATGTCAGGAACTGAATGGTGAATTAGGTCAGTAAATAGTAGTCTTGGTTGATTTCTAGCAGTGGTAGACTACTAATCCCATAATTCTTTGCCGGCTATGTGTTGGTACTGCATGAGTTAAATTTTATAGAAATTTAGGATTTGACTCAATCTCAGTGAGTCCTGCCCTTTATAATTGCTAATGCTGGACTAGTCAACAATCACACTTCTCACCACACCCTCACCATCGTAAACCAGAGGGTGCATCCATCTCCTAGAATGATTTACAGACATACCTATACCCTGTGTAACACCTTTATAACACAGACCGTCTGAATGCTGAATATAAATAAAGAACTCCCACTCCCACCGCTTTGGGGCAGCAGCAATGACTATAGTATGTGTTGGTTTTAATTTGTAAACAAACTTGTGTGTGCTATCTCAAATATCTACGTTCATTTAAATAACACATTTTCGGTATCACTGAAATGGCAATTAAAGTGTAAGCTCACCTACCAGCATTATGACAACCCTCAGGAAGTCCTGCACTAATAAGTTACATTGCTTCATCCCGTTTAAAGGCATAATCTGTAATGAGATATGAGTGTATTTCTATAGATCCCCACAATGTATTACCTTAAATAGGGCACACAAGTGTTTGGTGGCTGCACTGTAAAAAACATTGTGGCATAAATGCTTAGGACAGCACTTGGGATAAATATGTTATGTCCTGCCCATAATTAGAAGGTTTTACACTCCAATAAAGAAGCTGAGGAGACAGAAACTGCACAAACCTAGCCTCAGCTCCTCTATAGACACAACACTGCTAGGATCAGGATGACTTAAAATGGGTGCAGGTGCTGCCCTGACGTCTAAATTGTGCCAATCTCAGGCAGAGACATGTAAACACAGTGCTTTGCATACATTAAAAGAACTGTGTAACCATATCATGAAGCATATATTATGGAAATATAATGCATTGCAAGCTTTTACACTATGAATGAACTGTTTGACTTTTGATCTTGAGATTTATTTTAGGATTTGGGTTAGTGTCAGAGAGTAGTGGGAGCAATATTCCTGGGCAACAATTGCTGCCAATTGTTTGGGGGGGGAAAATGGAGGCAGTTGTATGTATGATGTCATTTTGCACTGACAAGCAGCAAAGGTGTATGGATGAAACTTTATTTCATTGATAGTAAGGATGGCATAATATTTTTCATAGAGGATTAAAAAATATGTCAGTGGCCCTTTTTGGTGCTTTTTAAGTTTTCTCAGTAATTTATAAACTGCTCATGTGACTCTATAAAGATTAACCCTGTACTGATATCACTCTTTTCTTTATATGCAGACATGTTAGTCATCATTCATTTTCCCAGCATTCTAATCTTTAGACTTGATATCCAATGTATGTAATTGAAATATTGTGTACATCACGCCCTGAGAAAGTATGAGTAATAACACACCACCTGCCCTTGGATTATTCTGAAACAATTACTCACTTTTCTTCAACCTTAGGCTAGATATTACTTACAGGCATTTCAATTTACTAACTTGGTCGTTAACAGACTGAAACAAATATTAGTGCATTTACCAAGGGGTTTA